CATGTGAATGGCTCAGCCTTCTCCAGCAAAGCACAACATCTGAAAGAAAAACAACCACTTGACAGACAATAAAAATTAATGAAATAGCATTTCATTTCTTTGGCATCAAACAGTGCATTTAACGGACCATTATAAACAGCCATATAATTTCTAATTCTAATAATCTTAATTTGGTTAATCTTGTGATTTCGCTCCCAAATATTCTGGACTGAGTTGCTGGCATTTCTTTACACCTAAAATAAATTCCACTGCACAAATATTTGAATATCTGCCTCAAATTGTGTTTCACAGGACTAAAGCTTAGTGTTATTCTGTCAGCCAAGGGTCTGCTAGCATTCTCCTGGGTGCACAGTATTCGATGAGATCAGAGGACACCAAAAAGAAAACAGTAGGTCAGATCTGGTTTACATTTATCTTCTGATAGGTCTGAAGTTTTTTTTTCAGTATTTGATAATCAGCTGCTACCACTTAAAAACGGGTATAATGCGTATAAACATATGGGTTCCTTGCTTTTCTTTATAAATCGAGAGATCAGACAATCCTGGGACTACTGAAGTATAGCAACTGTTGGCCTGGACTGAGTAGTGCTGCTCCCTGCTAGTCTATTTTCATAGTCCCCTCTCATCCTGTTTTGATATTCTAGATAATCCATTTGCAATTTTCCGGAGTAATGCCCTTGTTTTTCTCATCATCCCTTGGAAATCACGTAGAGTCTCCAAATATCAGTACCAATGCCACATTTTCCTGACATAGCCCGTCTTACTCGCTAAATTAAGGGTCTCCTCCTTTGTCCCCCATTGAAACCTTGAATACAGTTCTATTAAAACATTTATCCCATTAATGATGTCAGAGGGCATTTCTGTTTTGTCTGTGGCCCTTATGTTTCTCTGCTTCCTGACTTGTTCCTTGAAGGCAAAGACCATATATCATGCAGACTTAATGTGTTCACAATCAGCAGTTTGCTCAGCACATGGAAGCTGAATAAACTCTGGTTGAATAGATGATTAAGAAGTAAAATATGTAGGGGCACCTGGGTGGTTCAGTTGGTTAAGCATCTGACTCGGTTTTGGCTTAGGTCATGATCTCATGGTTTCAGGAATTCAGGCCACCAGTCTGGCTCTGTTCTGCCATCACGGAACTTGCTTGGGAATCTCTGTCTCCCTCTCTCAAATAAACTTAAAAAAATTAGAGAAGTAAAATATATATTTAATTTTTGTTAATGTTTATTTATTTTTGAGAGAGGGAGAGAGACAAAGCACGAGTGTGGGAGAGGCAGAGTCAGAGAGACACAGAATCTGAAGTAGGCTCCAGGCTCTCAACTGTCAGCACAGAGCCTGATGCGGGGCTTGAACACACAAACCATGAGATCATGACCTCAGCCAAAATCGGATGCTTAACCGACTGACTCACCCAGGCACCCCTTAAGGATAGGTTTCATTAAGTTCAGCTTTAATGACAGGTTTCATTAAATTGAGCTTTAATGACAATTTTCATTCACACTTTTAATGTTTGATGGCATAAGGCTTCTTTCTCTTCCCTTCCTCCTTTTCTTTTCCTATCCTATAGGCTGTGGGTGTACATGCACAAACACGTACACACACACATACCACCACATAGCAGAATAATCATACTTCATAAGTATCCACTAATTTGGAAGGGTGCAGTAGTACAGAAGTATCAATTTAAAATTTGCAATATAAATATCAGACTTATTATATGCCACTGACTTATATAGTTCATTAAATCTCATTTTTGTTGGTTGTTCTAAAGGTAAATGACAAAAATAAGATTAATTTTATGCAGAGACAGAATTAAAAGAAAAATGATACTCTAAGGGTTCAGACTCTGCTATTTAGTATGGATCGTGTAGATGTGGCTGTTGTCTGAATGGAAGTTAGGAACTTTTACACAAGCTCTAAAGGAGTTGACTACAGAAAACTTCTTCGTGATTACAGTAGCACGTCTACTTGCAAATGTGGGCCATGAATACCCTCATCTGTGTGCCTACCGTGGAGCCGTTTGTCTTTATGGGACTTTGCACAGCTGACAGCTAATGCAGGCGTTTAAATGCAAAATCTGACACTGATGTTTTCCCCCCGAATGACACTTCAATACATAAATTATATGAATGTAGTTAGCACTATTCATTTATGAAATAATGTAGCTACCACTTAGTAATGCAATTCAAAACATCTTTCACTTTATTTAGCCATTTCCAACCCCATTACATGGAACTATGAAAAGAATAAAAATTGATTAGACAAGGAGCGACAAGTGGGCAAAAGCATTTCCCAGCATGTTGCCCGCCTTGTGGCAAAATGATGGAACAGTAACATTTTACTTCCTATTGAGGAGATGTTGCTAGCTTAGGTGGCCTGTTTCTGATTAAAAGCATCTTTGTAACATTGCCTTCACTTCCATGAAAAGAAAAATATGCTCTGTGCCAAAGAGCCTAGTACTAACTGCAAAAAAGAGATGTTACTGTGGCAAGATAGGATATTCTTGGTTCCAGTCCTGTAGGATGGTGGGTTTTGATCGGCAAATTAGGCTTCTAAGCTTCTAGTTTCTCTATGTTGGGTCAATGATAAAAGTGGAAATAATATAACCATTACTAGTAATTGTCAAAAAAACCTGGAGATGGAGTACTGTCCTTTTTTTATAAATGTGAACTCAGACTCAGCCCAGCTAAGTATCTGCCCGAGGGGGGCAGTGAGCGTTTGAGCCACGCCTGCAGCTGGTAACTCCTTAGCTTTCATTCTCTCAGGTACCTTAGGGCCTATGATGCCTCTTTGTGTAAAGATAAGGGGGGTCCCGCTGACTGTCTTCCTTAATGTAATTTGTGGGTCTGTGTGGTGGGGTTCCTCTTTGTTTGCTTTCATGAACTTGTTAGACTTCTGACAAAAGTATTTTGCTGTTTAGGATTTTCCTTTTGAATTTTGGGAGACTGGTCTGGACGCAGACCTGCTCTGTTTCAAGAGTGGTGGGGAGAACACACATTCATCTCTCTGATGGCACTTGGGTGTGTGTTCCTGGCAAGTTATGCATTGTCAATGAGCTCGGGACACACTCACTTGTGTACTCGCTCACAGAGGCTGACTGAGAAGCAGCTCAAGCTAGAGTCTGATAAAGAATAACTGGTCAAGGGACCAGGGAGATATTGCACGTTTACTTTTCCATCATGTGGGTATTAAGTATGGGGACCCTGCATTTTGAGCAGAAGGCTGGTAATTTCTCACGTGATCTTTATCAAGAAGTACAAAATCAGTGAGCAGCATACAGCTTGAGGAATGTGTCTCAGGTGGGTTGTGAATTATACAGCCAGATGGCCTCACCTCCCCAAGGACTGTTCCGAAGTCATATACATTCTTTATTCATTAATTTTCAATTTTTTGCCTAACATTTTCATTGGTATTAGCCTTTTCTGCAAGGGAAAAAATCCATTTTAATAAAAGAAAAGAGTAAATTCGGTATTACTCATTTTGCAGGAAAATACAATCCTATACTTAAAAAAAAAAAGTAAATGCTAAGATAGTATTTGTGATCAAAATATATCCACAAAGTGTCTTTTGCCCTTCATTTATCAGAACTATTTAAGTCTTATCATTTCCTTCTTACTGAGACCATGTGCCTTATTAGTGGCAGACAGAGCTTTATAGACTAAACATATTTATGTTCTATTTTAAATATAACATGAGGCTTATTGCACAGAACTGTTTTCCTTTTCCTCTATTTCTTTTTCTAAATCCTATATAAGCCTGATACTCTACTTTTAGTCAACTGGACTCTTCACTAATTTTATACAGGAAAAGGTATGGGGTTGGAATCTCAGGCTGAAAATCTAGTATTTGGAAATCAAAGAAAAGACTTAAATGATCACGGTTAACACCAGAAAAGCTTTATGTTAAATATAGACAAGGAGATCCTAAAGTAATTGGTATAACTAAAAATGCTCCTTTCTTTCAAAGTTTCATCCTCAGCTTGAAGCTTGTGTCATATGATTTCTGAAGCAACTGTCACAGACATATGATGGAAGAGCAAAGCAAAACGAATCCTATCTCTTTTGCATTTATATATATTCATTAGATCAACACATTCTTCTTTCTGTTTTGCATAATCTGAAAGTGGTACTTATGAAATTATGAACACAGTGCAGATGGTCTGCTCTAATCGGTCCAGCCTCTTCACAGTCCATGAACTGAGCCTGTCGGTTCCACCTCCAGCAAGGTCATTCTGCTGCTCTCTCTCCACCTGTCCTCGCTCCTTCCCTCCAGGGTCCTGCACCCGACCCTGTCTTTCACCCATTCTTCCTTTGTCTCAGCAAAGACGTAGCACGAAATTGCCCATTGTTCAGTCCTCTGCTGTGCTGCTCTTGGGTGTGAGTCTCTCCCTCCACTACTGGATTGTGGGCCCCCTGAAGATAGGGAAGCTGTCCTCTGCACCCCTCAGCACAAAGCAGAGCTTGGGTTCTCAGCAGGAGCTCACTGATTGAGAGCCTGCTTTCTGCTACTTTATTTCTATTATTTAATTGAGTGAGATTCTGCAGGACGTAAACTGTGCCCTTGAAACCAAGGCACCCTTGGGAGCTATATTAACTTAGGGCACATGGGCCCTATTTATTTACTGTTTCAATATACTGAGTTAGCTGTACTATCAATCACATAATCTGACAGTCTTTTAAAAATGCAGTGCTTCTTCTGCATCTTTTGGCTTTGCTCCTTCTCTGATGACCTTTTGGAAGCAGTGGAGTGGGACTAGGGTAAGAGGAAGACTTGTCATGCTCTGTCAACTTCTACAACCTGAATTAGAAAACTGAACAACAAGGATTCCTCTGTCATTTTTTAAAAACGAATAAAGCAGTACCCTTCCTACAAGTACAGAAAAGCATAGTATTTCTATTTACTCTTAGAATTGTAGACATAGGATGAGGTGAGTGTTTCCCTTAGGGTGGCATTTGTCAAGGTAGACCTGTACTTACATTCCTGTTTTCTCTTTTCTTTTATAGAGGCTGTCTGGTTCCTGTGTGTGTCTGAGATAGCATGGATGAGTGTTTGGGGCCTACTTATGACTAAGCCCCCAGACACATCTCAGCCAAGGTACATTTCCATTCAAGTATCCCAAATAGTTCTTCCCTGTCCATCAGGTTTTCTGGGAGCTCTGAGTTAGGAGGATGGATCTAGTGGCGATGAGCTTGAAGAAAGCCTGGGAGGAACAAATAAATCCAAGACCAGACTGCTGCCTAAATAGTCAAGCTACAGAGGTAACAATTTTAAATGTGCCTAGGTTGGTGTTGAAATGCCCATGGTTTGAAGGGTGTCTGAACAGAGCAAAAACAAACCAAAACCAAAACAAAACAAAAAAACAAAGAAACCCTCCTGGGCATTCCAGCCCAGGAGAAAAGGGCTGCTAGTGGATGCTTTTAACTAGGCTAGATAGACCCTGGACTGCCCAGAAATTTTGATGAGAACTTAAGACTTGGGTAAAAGACTGATTAGGTAGATGAGACATCCATGAAGGGAATCTAAAGTCTGATGCTCTCATGAGGACTCTGAAAGAAGAAAGGATTCCTGACATTCCTTGCCGGGGTGGAGTAGCTCTTAAGCTACTACCACACCTGGCTCTCTAGGCCTCAGGGTCCTATACTCAGCACACCTTTATTGCTGGTCTCAGAGCTGGGCAAGTGTTGGTGGGGATTCTCATAAGGACTCCTGAGAAAACAGGTCAGTTTGGGGCTTTGACTAAAAATGGCATTAGGGTGGCCTGAGACCATTGGGCCAAACCTAGTCCCTGATTATGCCCTAGAGTGAACCCAAACTCTCAATCTCTGAATTATTCTGATGGATCTTCTGGCTTTCAAGACCACAAGGGCTTTTTCTGGGCAAGATCAGATGCCGGGATTAGGCTCCAACAAAATGTATTTCTTCGGAATCCATCTAGCATGGAAATAGCCTTCCCTTGGTCGGCAGCCCATGTGTGGTACAGCATTGCTCAACACAGCACATTCTTCCTAACGTATGACTTCAGAGGGAAGGTGGGACTAAGTGTGGAGGGTTGAGGGTAGAGGTTTCTCAGAAATGTCTGTTGCTCAAAGCCGCTATTTTTCTCAGTTGAACAACTTTGAGCTTATTGCTTTCATTTTCCTCAAATATCTATCAAGGCTTTGTAACTTATGAGCAAACAAACTGAAACAGAAAGCCATTTTTTAAGTTAATTTTATATTTGGTACAGGATTAGAAACTGCTCTGTTCACACATCGGCTATAGCCTGTAGCACAGAAACCATGCCTGCTTTTCCAACACATCGCTGTGATATTTGGTTAGAAGGGGATTAAGGATACGAAAAAGAAAAAAAGGTCAGTTTCTATTTGTAGGTAATTCTCAATGTCCCTTCTCAGAATCTCAATTACTACTTCTCTCTTATTTTCTTTTCCATGTGTGTCATGGCCTTAAGACTTGTTGGAAACATTAACGTCCTACATTCTCATCAGCAGCCATGGATCATAGTACCACTCACTAACATTTTATTACAGTGTCCTGAGCTGCCCAGTCACCTCATGCTAAATTTAGGTTTAAATAAATAGAACATCTTAGTTGCAGTGCTACTAGAAAGCAGCTGGAACAAGAATAAGGGGCTCTATTGCTTTCATATTGCTATATTGTGACAGGTAACTGAGAGGTTTTTTTTTTTTTTTTTGAACCAAGTATATAGATATTGATCATGTTCCCGAGTCATTCTGAATACATTACATGTATATTCAGATCTGGTTTTGAGTTCAAAAGTCCCCAGTTGAAACAGTTGTCAGCCCCTTAGCCTTCTTAACCCCCTAGATTGTTCAATTTCATATTTCTGGTTTATTCTGGAATGATTCATGAGATGCACCCTGCCTCCCCAACAAGTACAAGGGAAGGACTAAAGTTAGTGTTCCTCAGACTCTTGTACAGCCTGCCATGAACTTGGTTGTACAAGAAATATTTCCTGAAGGGATTTGCCTTTTAACATTATAACATTATAATTTAACATTACCCCTATCTTCTACTCCGTTTTCTTCCTGAGAAGCAGAGGCTTCCTGTGTAACTTTTCAAAAATCCTATATTCATTTACAAACACACACACAGAGAAATGTTTATATGTGTATATCAAATGCTAAGTATATATACTGTCCTGCATTTGATTTTTTTTCCTAACCTAACAATGTATCCTGGTGAATTCTGTATCAACATTACAAAGCTAATGAATTCTTTTAAAGAGCTGCATCAGATGTATTCTATGGATATGTTGTTCCTTTTTACTATTATAATTTTATTATTAACTTTTTACTATTATCAATGATATAGCAAGAATATCTTTGTATATGTCATTTTATAGATGGGCAAGTATAGCTAAAGGATAAATAGAATTGCTGTGTAAAGGCACTGATAAATTGCTCTCTACCAATTTCTTCTCTAACCAACTTACAATGCATGTGTTGACTATTTCCTTGACATACCCTGTGATACCCAAGGGAAAAAAGTGACATTATTAATGGCAAACACTTACATAGCACTTAGTCTGCACCAGGCGCTGGTCTATGTGCTTTACATATATTATCTCAAGTAAGACTCACAACAACCTTGGGAGGAAGGTACTTTCATCTCCAATTTACAGTTGAGATAAGATTTTGCTTCAGGTCCCCCAGCTAGTAAATAGAAGATGACATCTGATCCCAAGCTGTCTGGCTCTAGAACTTAGTTCCTATAAGCATGACTCTAAACTGTGCTAATCATGGCATTTTTCCCCCTGAATATTCTCTGATATAGAAGAAGTTCTCAGGAAACAAATGTTCAACTCTTCAATAAGGAAGACAGCACCCCCATCATCCTTACAAGTATTAGCTCCCGGCTCACTAGCATATTCTCTAACCTTACTCTGGCCATAATTTGTTGAAATATCAATATTACTATAGATGAACCTTGCACTACTCTGGCCTATGAGCTGCTCAATTTCCTCTCAGTCATCTTAACCTCCACCCTATCTCAGCTTTCTTTTCTTTGCTGTTCCTGTTTTCCCACTCAGTCCTTTTAATATCCATACTCCACCACTCTTCGCCCCCACCAGAATCTAATGATCCATTGAGCCTATCAGTTTTTCACTGTTCATTCCCCCAATGGCGCCCTCATTTCCCCCCAACACAGTAGCTTAGATTTCACAGTCCATTGCTACAATTAATCTTACTTAGATTACTGTAAAGCTGGCCTCTACACCTCTACACTTGACAAGTCGCTCTGTTCCCTTGCCCCCTTCCAACGTAGTGTTAAAACAGCAGGTGCCTCTCTTAAAATATAAGTCAGATTAACTCACTTGTCCGTTTAAAACCCTACAATATGTTCCCATTTGATTCAGGAACAAGGCGAAGTATTTCATACTACTTGCTCTCTTCCTCACACTACTTAAGCCCCATGTTCCCATCCCCAAATCTTTGTACTTGTCTTGTGCTTTTACCTGAAACATTTTTCCTCCAGATTCCTATGTGGCTCCCTCCCTGACTGTCATAATCCCAAGGAAAATAGTGTGCAAATGTTAACTTTATACCTTTTTACTATAGAGCTCAACATAGTGTATTTCCCATGATTAACCAAACTTTTAATCAAATCTTATCCACTTACTGTTAAAATTTGGTGTTATATTAAAAGTTTCTCTCTTTCTGATGCACTTCTTCTCACTGTTAATATAAATTCCTGGTTTTGGAGATGGAGGTTTACTTAAGAGATCTGACATGAATGTAGCTACATTTGTTCCAGAGCAAGAAACTGTCAAGACTGACTGTCACCATAGTGCTTGGCACATTTACACAATGAAAGGCTACATAGTCATTAAAAAGTAATAAAATATAGCCAAAAATGCTGATATGGAAACATCACCAAACTAAGAAAAAAATAAGTGAGAAAAAAATCCCGTATATCCACTGTTTCCTATATATTTTCCTACATATTTTGATTCCTATGTATTTTCGTATAAATTCCTATATAGGATTCCTATATATTTTCTCTACTTGTAGGTGTAAGTATATGTAAGGTACCATTAAGAGTTTACATTGGGAAACCAGGCCAGGTGCAGGGGAGGCCATTAAAGAAAAAACAATCACTGACCTAACCAAACTTAAAATATGATAAAGGAAGTAAGATTCACAGAATCAATGAGAGAAGAGCACAGAGTACATATAATTCAGGCTAATGTCCTTGAAGTGAATGATATATATTACATGAATTGAGACAAGGAAAAGACAAGTTGCCAGGTGTCATCAGGCCAAGAAGATATAATCTGCATTTAGTGTTGAAAGAAACCTAAGGATTTGATCAGGGAAAAGAAATGGAAATGACAACCCAAGAAGGAGTAATATATATCACGCAGCTTTAGTAAGGTCATGAGGAACAAACCGGCAAGGTCAAAATGTTTTAGGAAAGTGGATTAGCACCAGCGTGAGGACTGATAGAGATGGGCAGAGACTGGGGAGGAAAGAAGTTGAAAGGTTAACAGAGAAATCTAAGTCTGAATATTTCTGTCTGAAGTAGAAGAATAAAATTTAGGTGGAGAGAAAAGGATGAATCCAAAATAGGCTGAAAAAGAAAAAGCAATCTTATGTAGAGCCTGATTAAATGTTTGCCCTACAAAATGATTTTTAGAGAATAAATATTTCAGAAAAAGAAATGTTTCTACTTTTCTTACACTGAGCACATACTGATACAATATCATCTCTATCCAATTAAGAACTAAAGAATAGAAAAATAGTTTTATAAAAGGTCTCTCAGAATTACTGATAGCTATAAATCTATTTAGTAAAATTGAATATAAAACTCAAAAGAATAGATAAAAACAATGTACTAAGAATAATCTAAATGCAAAATTTAGATTTAACAGAAAATATTGAGAAGCTAGGTACATGAAATGAAAAAAATAAAATACATTGCAAACTCATGGTTTCTAGAGGGAAGGGAATGGTTGTATGTAACTCTTAATATAATATTTTAACCTTGACTCCAAACATTGACAAATACTGTTGTCTCCATGCCACTTCTCCTGGAATGGCCTAACCCTCCAGGATAATGTTAAGGGAACAGAA